TTTTATACAATCATATAATATAATTCTTCTAAACATGTGTTTGTTACTAATGTCCTCCATAACGACCGGACCGATATTGATATTTTTTTTATAGGTAAGTTTGAGTCGGTCCCGTGGAAAGGATCGCTAGTACAATTTTTCAAATCTATTATATAGACTGCTGGCTCCTGTATAGTTTGAACCAGTGTCAGTTTTTGAGCCTTAATTTTAGTGTATCGACTGCAGTACTTGACGCGTCGACAAAAGTTGCCGTTATTAGAACGTACTCCTTATCTGAAAGAGCTCTTAGTCGACTTGTTTAACTGCATCGATGAACATAAATGTCTTCAAAATAGGCTTCAATTTAATACAGTACTTTTTTACAGTGGTAGAGCCACGCGGCACCTTTTGCTGTCGCACGGATGGGCCGGCTCGAACCGGGGTAGTACCACGACCTCACAGAAAACCAGCGTGAAGTAGAGATTTACCTCTGCGTTTCGCTTGGTGAGTGCAGGTGGCCGGAAGCCCTTTTTACTGGAAATGAGGCATTCCATCTTAGTCCTCACGGGTGACAACGCATCTACATTTTGATTTGTAACAGAGGATAGATGTAGATGTCTATGGGCCGCAGCAATCACTTACCATCAGGTGGACTGTGTGCTGGTTTTTCACCCTTGTACTATTAAAAAAAATGTAAAAAAAATATTTACATAAATTAAAAATCAACATATTCATTCTTCTCGCTCACATAAATTCAAGCATGCTGACAATATTACCATTCATACGCAACAGGTTCCACTCAGGGTTTATGTCCAGGAAAGCGTAGAGCGTTGTAAGCACAGAGGAAAGTTTACAGTGGTAGAGCCACGCGGCAGCTTTTGCTGTCACACGGATGGGCCGGCTCGAACCAGGTTAGTACCACGACCTCACAGAAAACCAGCGTGAAGTAGAGGCTTACCTCTGCGTTTCGCTTGGTGAGTGCAGGTGGCCGGAGGCCCTTTTTACTGGAAATGAGGCATTCTATCTTAGTCCTCACGGGTGACAACGCATCTACATTTTGATTTGTAACAGAGGATAGATGTAGATGTCTATGGGCCGCAGCAACCACTTACCATCAGGTGGACTGTGTGCTCGTTTGTCACCCTTATCATATAAAAAAAAAAAAAAAAAAAAAAAAAAGGAAACACGCGAGTTAGCGCGCGAAACGGTGCGTGACCACGGCACGGCAATCCATTTATGTTACAATATAAAAAACTAGTGAGACTTATGGAGTATCAAAGGCAGGGATAAAGATGGTAATGTGTTGCGATGGTGATAATAACGTGAGATAGGAGAGAATACCTACATACGAAATATATTTTAAGCTTTTTGCTGTTAAATAAAATAAAAACCTGAATCGATCGCTTGGTCTTGCAGCATTTTATGCTCGTTTTACATTTGTATACTACTACTATGGTATTAAAACGAGGTCATAATTAATCGGCAATATAGTCAAAGCCAAAGGTCAAAGTTGATAGCGTTCAGCAGTATATTCCGAACAACGCATGAAAATTGTAAAAATTGCAGTTACTAACCCCCCTGACAAGTGTGGAAACTGTGGTGAAATCCCTTTAAAACAAACTATGAGAGAGGCCTATCTTCATCAGTAGACTTTTATAGGCTGTAGTAGAAAATGTATTGAGTAGGTAAAAGTGACTCAGTGTTGGTCAATCATGGCTAAAATGAAAACCACCAGAGCAAATGTGAATTATATTACATACAACATTATTTGTTTATACAAAAAGGAAGTCAATCTTGCTACCTGACGAAGAAGAGGGATTTCTATATACTCTCAGCTAACATTCATCTTGTAACCGGCGAACTCACCGAATGAAATAGAACCACTCTACCACTAACTAATTAATTATAGATTTATAGCGAGGCTTGAGTCCGGTCCTCGCAACCACCGGTCTTCCAGATAGCAACGGACTCCCCGAACGTTACTAATATCACATTGTCTTATATACTTAAATGCGAATAATTTTCTATAGTGCGATTCAGGTATAAAAGAGCGATTGGTTGGCTTGCAGCGAAAGTAAAATTATTTGCAACACACGAGCCCGGTAATGATCGTGTTCATCGCCTGTTTCACGCTAGAGTGCTATTATGTAATAGCTAGCTTATGAGCATTCATGAAAATTTCATGCACTAGTTAATAGAAGAAATGGTCGATTATATTAATTTTTAGATATAAATAAAAATATTTCCCAGTGAAACTTCTTTATCGACGTAGTGGAGAAATTTAGTACGGTATTAAATCGTTAACGTTGTAAAGTGTCACCGCCGGGGCTGCATGAGTATGCTATCATATAACATAACGACTTTCACGACTTTCAACCTCCCGAACAAACCGGTTTGCGAAAGAACTTTAGTACCATAGACCATTGCCAAAGGGTATGTAAATACCCTTCGGCAAATTGTGCAGAAGACCGAAAAGTACAATCTGCCACTTTGTCTAGCGTATGTGGACTATGAGGAAGCCCTTAATTCAGTCGAAATTTGGGCGGTTCTGCAGTTCCTTTAGCGGTGCCTTGTTGACTGCCGCTATATCGAAGTGCTGAAGTGTTTGTACAGTAGGGCTACGATGGCTATCTGAGTACAGAACCAGAGTACGAAACCTATCCGACTGCAGAGAGGTGTAAGACAGGGCGATGTTATATCCCCGAAACACTTCACCGCTGTGTTAGAAGACGTTTGTAAGCTACTAGACTGGAAATGATAAGATATTAACGTCAATGGCGATAAAGTACTTATGGCCGAATCACTGGAGGACCTAGACACAATGCTCAATGACCTCAATAGTGTCTTCCAACGGATAGGTCTTAAAATGAACATGAACAAAACAAAAGTCATGTGTAATGTCCATGTTATCCTATGCTGGTAGTTGTTGACAAGTATGTTTACCTAGAACAAATAGTCCGACTAGGTAAGTCCAACTTCTACCGAGAGGTTAATTGACGGATTCAACTCGGCTGGGCAGCGTTCGGGAAATTACGACACATTTTCTCGTCAGGCATACCTTAAAACAAGATTGTTCAACCAGTGCGTGTTGCCAGTGATGACCTATGGATCTGAAACGTGGTCCTTCACTGCTGGCCTTATGACGAAAATCAAGGTCTCTCAGCGAGCTATGGAGAGGGCTATGCTCGCGGTTTCTCTACTTGATAGACTTAAAAACGAGGCTATCGCAGTAGAAACAGAGTAGCTGACATAGCCCAACAGATTAGTAAGCTGAAGTGCAACTGGGTGGCCATAGAGTTCGAAGAACCGACAACCGATGGAGAAGAAAGGTTCTCGAGTGGCAGCCTCGTACCGGTAGACGAAATGAAGGGCGTCCCCCCACTAAATCTAGTGGCGACCTGGTAAGACATGCAGGAAGTCATTGAATACAGGTGGCTCGGGAACGTGCTTTGTAGCATTCTTTGGGGGAGGATTATATTCACCAGTGGACTTGTGATGGGCTGTTATGATAATGATGATGACATAGAAAGTGCTCGGACCAATTTGCAACTTGCAAGTCGTTGAAACTATTTTTGACGCGGAAGTTTTTATTATATTTCAATACAATTTTGAAGCGACAGTAGCCATGCAACTGGGTGGGGAGGCAGGGTGCGAATCCGCTATTCATTTACTGTCGGAAACCACTCATAAAACAAGCATTGTAAGCCTACCAAGATTTGGTTACAGTAAGTATTAGTAATGGAAATAACATTGCTAGTATTTTTTTTAATAAAAATAATAATAAAGCGGCATTTGAAGTAGAAAAGAATAATAGTTGCTAGGTAGGACGTAGTAAGTCGGGGCTTTAATTCCGTTATTTAAAGTTTATTTTTAGTAAACGTTAAAGGTGAAGCTTTAAATTACGTTTAAATTGCTTTAAGATCAACTGTAACGTTTAATAAAAAAGTTCTGGAAGGAAATCTATTTACAAACGACTGTAAAATATAACAACGATTGAATGAAACTAATTTTTACGGATTTTATCGCGTTTAATTTACAGCGCCCATGTTCACGGGGGGGGGGGGGGGGGGTTGACTTTCCGATTGTCATAGCGAGCCCGGGTACCTTCAGTTTTTGAATATTAATTTTTGATCCCATCTACCCAGAATGAGCTTACAGTATCTTGAAGTCTTGCAATGGTATGCTTGGGTTTGGAATTAATTTTATTAATTATAGGTTCCCAAGCAGATGGCAGCACCCATCCATCGTCTCTATTGAAATTAGGATGTTTTTTTTTTAAATTTCAATTGCCTCGCGAATCATCGTTGGTAGGAATCGGTGTTCTTTTGCGAGGATTTGTGGTTTATCAAATCTGATGTAATGGCGGGGAAGATCTTGAACATGTTCACACACTGCAGAATTCCAGGGACATCGGTGCTTCAAGTTTCATTCAAAATAAATTTTAATCAATGTGTAGTCTTCGCGTTAATATAAGGAATCATTATAAGGACGATTTTCGACGCCAAGGTTTTTTGTAGGTATGATCATTGATTTCTCGGAACGGATAAACCTATTTAAAAGATTCTTTTTTTTATTACATAGGTTAGTCATCAGGGGTTGTCTCATATAAATGTGGAAAAAATTTCCCCCTTAATTAAATTCATTATAGAACTATATTTAACCCTCAAGCACTGACGTGCAATTTAGTAACACTAACACTGACGTACGTATGACATACGTCTATGATTATAAAGACCTATTGTGCATCGATAGAGTGTAAATATTGTGATGTGTATTTACATTTTGGTTAAATATATTTAATATAACCTAGGGATATTAAAAAAACAGTTAAGATAATTAAAGCAAAATATTTATTAATCAACGGCCTTAGAAGTAATGAAATTAACATAATATTTCTTTTTAAATCAACTAAAAATAATTTTATAAGAATAGGAACGTTTATTATTGGTTTTGTTACTTACTAAGGATGGTTTTAGTTATAAAAAATAGCAATCACATAAATAATGAAAATTAGGCACTTTTTAACAACAGTTGTTGCAGGTCGGCTTAGAGCACTGCCAACATACTGGTTTACCGCATGTTTGACAACCGTATCTTGTTTTGCGACGTTTTAGTTTATAACACGTATAGCAATTCTTCATGGTTTCAAATTTTATAATTTCATGACTTGGTTGACCCACTTCGGTAGCCATATCTTTGCCCAAGATACGAACAATAAGACTCGAAAGCTCATGTGAAAGTTGCGGCGTCGTGTATCTTCGCTCGAGGTGCGGCTTTACTAAGCTTTTTCCAAGATTTTTCATGAAACTCAGACGATCCGAAGTATTATAATTTGACATTATAAAAGAATTGACAGCAGCAATATCTAAAATTCTGTAGAATATGATCAACGGCCATCGCCTAGACCTTCTTGCACAGCAGTATTTGGCACATTTTTCATCTAAGGAATCAACACCTCCTTTACAAGAGTTATAAAATGATATTATTTCTGGGATCCCTTTGACCGAATCCATGCTCTCTGTATGGTGCATCGACGACAACATTATAACAGTTTTGTGTTTTTTTGGTACATAGGACAACAACATAATGTCTTTCGTGAAACCGTATAAAACTGAATGAACTGGTCGAGTTTTGGAAAGAAATTCAGGTGGTATTTCCCTTTTGTTTTTTTTAGTGTCCCTACATATGTCAAACAATTTTTTTTAATTCTCTGCATACTTCAATCGAGGAGAAGTAATTATCTGCAGTGATGGTTCGATTAGTTCCCATGATGGGTTTTGCTAAACGTAAAACACATTGTGTAGGTACCAGCAGTTTTTTCTGTTCGTCGGTTAGTCCGTTGCCGTCACTGTTCTTGCCCGTATGGAGGTAAGCATTGTACAGGTAACCGGTGGTACTATCAGTTAGACATTTTATTTCCAATCCATACTTGCAGGGTTTGTTAGGCATGTACTTCTTCCATCTGCACCTGCCTCTAAAAGACACTAACATTTCGTCGATAGTGGTATTCTCTCCAATTTTATAATACTTTTGGCAATTGGCGACAAATTCATAAAATATGCTCGAGATAGGAGCAGCGACATCAGATTGTTTTCTTTCATCTCTGGTAGATGCATCATCAAACCGAAGACTTACGAGAATCATTGGAAAACGATCTTTGGACATTACTCCTCTAAAAATATCTCTCCCTGTTCCATCAGTAGCAAACAATGCATTTATGTCTTCATTATTCGATTTGAATGCTGCACTAAAAATCAACAGCCCAATGAAAGCATCCAACTCTACAGAATCTAAGTCCTTCAGTTCAGGTTTGCCTTGTCGCTTATATTTTTGCCTTACCAATTCCAGTTTTTGGTTAGTATTTTCTATAATTTGTGTTTTAATATTGTCAGTTATTAGCAAACTAAATAATTGTGAAGGCGGACTATCCGGTGAAAAATCAATTGTAGTTATTGGAGTAACGATGTTGTGCGCAGGTGTGCGTGTAGTTCTCGATGGCCCTTCTGCAGACCACTTCATGCAGCGTTTTTTCCCGTAGTAGTACTTTCTGCGAGATTGCGATACATTACCCTCGACAACTGTACTTACTTGAGAATCGCTTACCTGGACGCCAGTTTGCCTTTTTTCAGAATCAATATGGCGGGAAAAATGTGACAAAGGCATACCATCTTCAGAAGAGTCAGGGTCCGAAGCTCCACCAGCGGCCTCTCCATCATCACAATACTCCTCTTCTGAATAATCATCGCGGTCTGACTGAATGTAATCATTTTCATCCGCCGATGATTCATCTGATTCACAAAGCCAAGATGCGATAATTTCTTCGTTATTAGTAGCATCACCTCCAATACGTAGTATTTTTCTAGACGAAGATATGCCGGAAGGAGAATTACATCGCTTACGATTCATTTTATCTAAAGACAAACATAAACACATAATTTAAAAAAGTCACACTAACACTGACAATACGTACGACGTACGTCAAGGTATCAAACTTACCTATTTAGACACGTGCCACACGTCTGTACTCCACTGTTACGCGGTCGTTACTGGCGAATAGGAAACTACCAAAAAGGACGCGTTCGAAATCCCGCGCAATTTAAAATTTACATCGAAAAATTGTTTAGGCGACGTACCACATACGTACGTCAGTGGTTGAGGGTTAAACATTCGAATTAAATATGAGTTTAAACTTAATAACTTAAGTGAGGAAACTTGTAGGAATCAGTTAAATAAGATTGCTCTGTTTAAATGCCAATATGTTTATGAGACTTCATCATGCTTCATATTTATATTCTTTTATCTGTCCCTGAAAATTATAAAGTAATAATAAACTTATTATCATTTTAGCTGCATAAATTTTAAAAACTTAAAAACTTAAAAATCTTAACACAGTAAAGTGCACCAAGTGTCTGAGGACACTGATGTACTCTCTATTCTCTCAATCTCGGTATGTTAAGAAAATGGTCACTCATTCATAGACTGACCGCGGCAAGTGCAACTTAATCTCGCAGATCTATTGATGAGATAACTATGAGTTCCTCTTCTGTATGATTAACGCTGAAGGCGATGAATCACACTATTTAAGCCCTCGGCAGAATGTCGTCGGCCGTCAAACATGATCAGGCATCGAGTGTTGTGAGTATCAAATACTATGAAATTTACATATACTGTCTTGGCACATTGAACCGCGCGCCTCATGCGCGGGCTTCTAGTGGCACTTCAAGAGCACTTTCAAATATTTTATATCTAACTACGCTAAAAGTTTTATCATTGTGACTTGGGAATATAATACGAAGTTCCGCGCAACCCCTTGGGGAAAATAGCGTGATGCTATGAATATTGCTATAGTGTATGAAGTAAGGTTATATATTTTTTAGGTTGATAAATACATACTTAGTTGGGTTCATAATGGTTTAAATAGGATAATCTCAAGATTTTTTATCTATAATGTGCTACAGTTTTATAATGTAAAAAATCTATCTCTATTTTTATCTAAAGTTTTGAAAGTAACATTTTTGAAGTCTTATTATAATAATATTATACTTACTGGAACAAATAATGTGGAAATGGCTCAATTTAATAAAATTGTTTTTTTCTTTCTTTTTCTTTTATACTTCTCAAGTAAACGTTTCCCGCAAATTGATGAGTTTTCTTTAGATTCCAACCAACCCGTCAAAGCCTTAACCATTTACTTCTAATTATAGAATCCGGAGGGGATCTGTTTGATAAACCGCAAAATAAAATTACATTGATAGAACGTAAACTGAGGATTTATTTTCTTGTTGTGTGGGTAAGTCTATCGATTCAAGATAAATATCGACATTTACTTTGATATAGTTCAGTCAATCCTTAGTAGCGTACAAGTAAAATATTTTGTATAAAAATGTATTTACCAAATTTATGCAAATTATCAATAACGTGACTTTTTTCTTTGTAAAATATCAAAATTTACAAAATAATTGAAAACATTCTATATTTTTAACAGTATATAACATAAATTTACAAGTCAAATAGACAAATATTATAGAAAACCATTTAGTAATACTATAACAAAAAGAAAAATAAAGAAAAAACTATCTAAGAATAAATAAAAAACACCCGACTGCGCGGGAACTTGCAAAACAAAAGTAATCGATCCATCCGTATAGGCGGTAGGCTCAGCCAAACAAATTTTTTTGAAACATACCGACATATCCGCATACACATACCTCCTTTTGGTGCAGTTGGGTAAAAATGAACATATATCAGCTTTTAAGTCAACTGTTGGCGACGCGCCTATAAAAATATTTCAATTTATTAGTTAACCGATTACAAGTAGCTTCTAAAGTTAAATTATCAAGCAATAATTGTCTTATAAGAAAACGCTTAGTAAATCTTAAAGAAATATCGAATTAATAATTTAAAGGTCTTGGGTTCGAGTCCCAGGTCAGACTAGTTTGTCATTTTCTTAGCAATATTTTCTTAATAAATTCATAAAGGGAATTTTTAAGATATAATTCATGATTCCGGGTTTAGTTCCCCGGTTGAATTACTTTCCAATGTTATTTTCAATTTAAAGAAATATTAAAATAAAGTTAGACCAGGATTTGTTCCCCGGTCGAAATGATCACATTGTGTATAAGTGGAATTAATGTAAAATAGTATTGCATAATATTGTGGTGCTAAGTGGTGCCCCGTGTAGTGGCGGTTAAGAATATCCACTACCCCATATCTTCCCGTGGGTGTCGTAAAAGGCGACAAAGGGAAACAGGCAGGAGATGGGCAGCAGCATCTTCCTGATAATAGCCAAAATAACAATAAAAAACTGCGGTTGCCAACCCGCTCGCCAAGCGTGGCAACTATGGCAATATACCCCCCATGAGCAATGACAATAATAAACGGCCCCCAGTCCCCGGCGGCCCCGCTATTCCTGGCTACGGTGGCGACCATGGTAACGGCGGGGCAGGGGGAGCTAAGAATCTCCGGTGGAGGTTCGGTTACCACCTACGACGACTCGACCTGGCAACATACAACGCACACACCCTGAGGACTGACGAGAAGATTGTGGAGCTGGAAGAAGAGATAGACAAGTTACGCTGGCATATTATAGGATTATCCGAAGTCCGAAGAGAGGGGGAGGACACGGTAATCCTCGAATCCGGCAACTTGCTCTATTACCGGGAGGGCGACCATATGTCCCAAGGAGGTGTCGGATTTATCGTACACAAGTCTCTCGTTAACAATGTTGTAAAGATTGAGAGTGTGTCGACGAGGGTTGCGTACCTTATACTCAGAATCACCAAACGGTATTCGCTGAAGGTCATACAGGTTTACGCACCAACCTCGGCACACCCCGATCAGGAGGTGGAGGAAATATATGAGGATATCTCTAGAGCCATGCATTCCTCCAAAACCCAATATACGGTGTTAATGGGAGACTTCAATGCAAAACTAGGCACAAGAGAGAACGGTGAGCTGAAAGTAGGGAAATTTGGAATAGGGCAACGGAACCCAAGGGGCCAGCAGTTGGCTGACTTCATGGAGAAAGAGGGACTCTTTATGATGAATTCTTTCTTCCAGAAGCGGCCCCACAGGAAGTGGACCTGGTCGAGCCCCGACGGTTCGACAAAAAATGAGATTGACTTCATTATGACGACCAGACGACAATTGTTCAGTGATGTCTCAGAGATTGCGAGGGTGAAAACCGGCAGCGATCACCGAATGGTTAGAGGCACACTGAACCTAAACGTTAAGTTGGAGAGGTCTCGTCTAATGAAGTCAACGCTCCGTCCCCCTCGTGCTCTAATCCAAAGTCCCGAAACCTTTCAGCTCGAGTTACAAAACCGTTTTCAGTGCCTAGAAGACTGCAATGAAGTGGACGATATGAATGACAAGCTCGTGGAAACTGTCCATGCGGTCGGAGCAAAGTTCTGCAAGACCCGCCGCAGAAGAACACAAAAACTCTCCGATCACACTCTTAATCTCATGGCTGTTAGACGGGAGATGAAGCTACATTCTTCAACAGACTTGACAGCATACAGGCATCTGAACAGACAGATCTCCAAATGCATGCGGCGGGACTTACGCAACTTCAATACAGCTCGTATTGAAGAAGCGATCGAGCGGAACCAAGGCTCCAAAGTCTTTGCCAGAGATCTGTCTGCCAGAAAGCGCCAACTGTCAAAGCTAAAGACAGAATTTGGCTGCATCGTTTCCGGGGCACCTGAGATTTTGAGTGAGATTGAGAGGTTCTATGGGCAGCTGTACACGTCATCGTTGGAGCCGCACGCAAGTGTGAGTAACGATCCAAGAGCGAGTCTTATCCGACATTATTCCGATGATATCCCGGACGTCAGTCTGAGCGAGATTAGAATGGCTCTCCAGCACCTTAAAAACGGTAAGTCCCCAGGCGAGGATGGAATTACAGCGGAGCTTCTGAAAGCGGGTGGAAAACCGGTACTTGAAGTCCTTCAGAAGCTCTTTAATTCCGTCCTCCATGGTGGCATTACACCGGAGGCGTGGAGCAGAAGTGCAGTGGTCTTGTTCTTCAAGAAAGGCGACAACGCTCTCTTAAAGAACTACAGACCGATTTCCCTTCTGAGCCGCGCCTACGTGCTGTTTTCGAGAGTCATTACGAATCGTCTCGCGCGCAGACTTGACGACTTCCAGCCTCCCGAACAAGCCGGTTTCCAAAAAAGCTTTAGCACCATAGACCACATACATACCCTTTGGCAAATTGTACAGAAGTCCCAGGAGTACAATTTGCCACTATGTCTGGCGTATGTGGACTATGAGAAAGCCTTTGATTCCGTCGAAATTTGGGCGGTGCTGCAGTCCCTTCAGCGATGCCAAGTTGACTGTCGGTATATCGAAGTGTTGAAGTGCTTGTACAGTAGGGCTACGATGGCTATCCGAGTACAGAACCAGAGTACGAAATCTATCCAATTGCAGAGAGGTGTAAGACAGGGTGACGTCATATCCCCGAAACTCTTTACCGCTGCATTGGAAGATGTTTTCAAGCTTCTGGACTGGAAAGGATTCGGTATCAACATCAATGGCGAGTACATCACTCACCTTCGATTTGCCGACTATATAGTCCTTATGGCAGAATCGCTGGAGGACCTCAATGACCTCAATAGTGTTTCCCAACGGATAGGTCTTAAGATGAACATGGACAAAACAAAGATCATGTTTAATGTCCATGTCACACATATGCCGGTAGTTGTTGGGAACACTAAGCTCGAAGTTGTTGACGAGTACGTTTACCTGGGATAAATAGTCCGATTAGGTAAGTCCAACTTCGACCGAGAGGTCAATCGACGGATTCAACTCGGTTGGGCAGCGTTCGGGAAATTACGGCACATCTTCTCGTCAGGTATACCTCAAAACTTGAAAACGAGACTGTACACCCAGTGCGTGTTGCCAGT